CTGAGACATCGTCTAAATGTCACCTGTCTAGGCTCCATGAAGCCACTCATCTTCCTAACTTTTTAATTTGGGCTCTTGGTAATACCCTTTATTATCAGAGGATATTCCAAGATGCCCAGTGAATGCCTGAAACCGAAGACAGTATTGAACCCTCTATATACTATGTATTTTCCTCTACATACATACCTGCGGAAAAGATTAATTTATAAATTAGATGCAGTAAGAGATTGACAACAATAATAAAATAGAACAATTATGACATTATACTGTAATAAAATGTATTCAACTGTGATTGTTCTCTCTCTAACCCATCTTAATATAATGCGCTCACCTGTCGTCTGTCTTATAATCTGTCAATCTGACAAGCAGACAACTACTAGTAATGAATGAGTGGTGTACATTGTGTGGATCCACTGAACAAAGGGATGATTCCTGCCCCAGGTGGGATGAAGCAGGACATCGGGTTTCATCAGGCTACTCAGAACAGCACACAATTTAAAACATGAACTTTTCATTTCTGAAATATTCCATTTAATATTTTCAGACTGTGGTGGACTATAGGTAACTAAAACCATGGATAAAGGAGACCTACTATATTGTTCCCCTGAGCCTGGGAATAATAATCTTTGGCCCTGCCTCACTACACCCTGTCCACCCAGCCTCTGACATCCTTGTCCCTCCCTCCCTCCACTGACCCATCTGTTGGCCTCATCTGCAGGATCACCATCTCTCCCCAGTCCTCCCTGTCCTGCTGAGGCCCTTGGTTATTGTCCTCTCTTATTGTGCCCATGCTAAGGCCAGACAGTCTTGTTTACATTAGTTCTTGCCTTTTCACAGGGAAATAGGAGTCATGGTGATGTGGCTTGCTGTCAAGTGGAAACTAGCAGAATCAGTATATGGTTCTTTGTGTTCTTGCTCTCCCCCAGGTGACCAGGATGTTCCAGATCCACAGTGATGGCCAGCTTGCAGCAAGGAGTAAGCCCTCCCCCAAATCGTAGGGGGGTCTTGAGACAGCATCATCTAACCTTTCCTGAACGACACACTCCCCTACCCAGAGTCTTAGGAATGATGCCTCCGTTGTGATACATGATGGCACCTGAAAGGATAATCAGTAAATGTTAGAAGAACCCAAAGTTCTCATCTGTTATAGATGGGTAGAGTCAGACAAAGCCATTCATTCACCTTATTTGCCTTTCATCTACTGCTTCAGTTTTCAGAAAATTGCCCAAAGTTATTGCATTTTTATTGGCGTGGTGAAGGGAGTTGGCAGTATCAAGTGGCCCCTTGTCTGACGCCACGTGGCTACTTCTGTAGCTACTTCTGTAGGGAGCGTAACAAGTCAGAGAGAAGGGAAGTGTTACTCAGAGGCTTCTTAGAATGCTGACAGGAGGAGGAGACAAAAAGGGAACCATTGTTTATAAACACAGGGAAAGGAGACAGCTTTGCTGTCTCTTTGACTTAACACATAATCGATTAAAATGACAGGTCCCATTTCCTATAAGCCTGAAGGCATCTTGTGCTCTGTGCCTGGGAAAAAGCCATACTCTTTAACCCCGTGTCCCAGAAGAGTTCAGAAGCTGGTCCTCAGCATCCTGTGTTCTAGAGGCTTCATGCTGTCACTCTGCAGGTTCTTTCATTGCAGAAACTTTAACTCACAAATTAAATTAGGGAAGTGTAACAGCTCTGTATGAAAAGAATCCAGGTTTATACTCCACTCTGGTATTACCAAAGAATCTATTCCTTCACAAGGAAGCTTCTTTCCAATTCTTGGGTGTGCAACGGGAGCATGTAAAATGTAATCTCATTTCCAGGAGATTCCATCCCAACTCCTCTTCTGTGGAAGCAGCCTAGAAGGTTAAACCCTTGAGAGGAGGGCCTGAGAAACAGCTCCGGTTTCCTCCCGCCTCCTCAAGGTGAATGTATCCTTGTGAGGAAGCATGATGAGAAGGCCAGTGGTAATGGTGGCTTTTAAAAAGTGCACCTTCTGGTACTCTGAATTTTCCACCAACAAAAGGGCCACTGGGAAGCCATAGATGGTTGTCAGTGACAGCAGAAAGAAAACCACTACTCCGGGTTAGAGGAGGACTGTGTCTCACCTGCTGCCCCAACCAGAGAATGCCAGAATAGGAATGAAAATGCCCTTCCTGACTGACAGCCAGCACTCAGTGGCCAATTCTGAAATATTCAAAGGGCAGCCAAATACCTATGCACAGGAGGAAACAATTCCCTGAGTAAGTTCCTTGCACCTCTGTGGACCCCTCAGAATCTCTCTCCTTGTCTATACACTTGACTGAATTCTGCCTGTCCCCCGCCAGGCAGACTTGGCTGGGAGATCACACAAGTTAATCTGTGAAATGTTCGTTAAGTGTTGACATATGACACAAATGGTAACAGTTCCCATTTGCTGTACACAGTGATGTGCCACGCATTGTGTGCAGCATCCTGTCATCATCCCAACACCTTTGGGAGGTAAGACTTTGATGTTATCTGATGAGAGCCTCACAGTTGTGACCCAGGCCAGGCTGGCCCTCTAATGTGAGCACTAATTTACACCAATGATAAACACCTCCTCCCTGACATACAACAGGTGATGGTCAGTGGTAATAATTAGATTTGCATTCCCATATAGTCAAAGATCATTAGAAGAGCAATTTATCTTATACAAACTACATCAAAATTGCCAAAATATTTTCTTAGTTTTCTTTCTTTTTAGTAATTACAAATTATTGTCCTTAAATTTTTTTGTGGATATACTTGCATTATTTTTAAAAAATGTAGTTACCCTCCCTTTTAAAGAATGAATTAGTGAGAAAATAGTGTTTTCCAAAACAAGATACCAATGATCTATTTTTTCATATGTGCAGAATGGATGTTTTAAAATATTTTACTTGCATGTGAATGTATAATTTTATTTATTTATTTATTTATTCATTCATTCATTTGTTTGTTTAAATAGCTTTAGGGGGTACAAATAGTTTTAGGTAAGTGAATACACTGTATAGCTGTGAAGAGGTCTGGGCTTTAAGGGTACACACCACTCCCAACTGTACACATTGGACCCAATAAGGTGATTTTTCAACACTCCATCCTTTCCCATTCTTCCCCTTCTGAGTCTCCAATCTTTGAAAGATTCATTTTTAAAATGTTGAATTTAGGTAAGTTTAGCTTTTCTTACAGTCTCTTTGTGATCAATGTGAAATTGAAAATGAACTACTTCATCAGACTGGGCTCCGTGTACAATGGAACGTCAATATGTGGGTAATTCACTGAAATCAATAACCTCCTCATGGAACGTGATGATCAGCCTTTGCTCTGGGTAATATCCAATTAACTGATTTCCTATTTGTTTTCACTTTTCAACAAGTTGTGACATTTGAAGAAACATATCTAGTCTTTCACTGAGGAACACTGATTTCCTCAGGTCTCAATAAAGGGGGAGGAGGTTCAGGAAGATGCTTCAACTTGAAAAATTCTGGCTTTTTTTTTTTTGTTTCAATCAAGACTAAGATTGAAAGTTCTAGGTGGGCACCAGCAGCATCTACTTGGTCACTTCTTCCTGTCTCCAAGGTACCATGAAGACATCAAGAGCTTTCCTGTTTAAGATATTTTGTATTCCCTTCATCACACACACACACACACACACACACACACATACACACACACACACACACACACACACACACATCCCTCCTCATGGATCAATATCCAAATGAGTAAACCAGAAGATGGCGTTGAAGATTAGCAATCGAATTTTAAAGCAAGGTAGTAGTGTGAAGGCAAGTTTCCTGCAATGACTGTTGTTTTGAACCGCTGAACACAGAGGATGTGAATGAAGAAGAAAAATGTTGAAACTGACTAAGCCCAGAACTCAGGACACGTGTGCGAAAGTACAGAGAGCTCTCGTTTGCCATTTTGGTACTTAACAATCTCCTGTCTGATGTTCTTGTGACATTTTGGGAATAGTATTGCTGATTAAAATGTAACAAAACACAAAAGCAGTGTCTTTGCTTTGTTCGCCGATGTGTCCCTAAGAGCCCATAACAGTTCCTGACAAGTGGTGGGTACTCAAAATGTATTTGTCAAATGAATGAGTCTGTGACAGGAAGGGAAAGGAAAGGGAGAAAAACAGGTTGTGATCAGAATTTTTTTTTTTAACAAAACCTTGTTGCTTATTACATAGACTCTGATAATGGAAAACATACTCACTTAAAAATACAGCATCCTGTTAACTTCTGAGAATGTCCATTAGTTTTAGGAAAAGCAGACCTATCCTTACCTCACCACCTATCTAGTTTTTTTTCCTTGGTTAGGAAGCATTGACCCAATAAATACTATGAAAAGAAAAACTGAGAAATGAGTGAAATCAAAAGCTTTTCAAAAGTTGCGAATTGACCTGAGGTGGTAGTGGTCTAAAATCATATAGAAACCAGTGATCTGATGATGGTTTACCTGAAAATGCTAGGTGCATAAACACTCGGCGCATCCCAGACTATCTGGTGAAAGTTTCGGGGCGATAGCTCAGAGAGTTAATTTTGAGATTAAAGACTTCTTGGAAAACTAAGCAAAACCAGGTTCCGCTTAAATATTACTCCTATTTGGAGCTTTTACACCCTCCCACCCCCACCCC